CAGACTGAAGAAGTCTCTTGGAGGAGAGACGAAACGTTTCATTAGAGAAGAACCCGTCCAGAAGACCTATACAATTTTTTTATTTTTTATTTTTTACCTGGATTACTGAGATGCATCAGGACTTTATTCTGAACGGTTTAAACTCAGGTTGTAAGTTTCCTGCAGGGCACCTTTAATGTGTCTTTTCTTGTTCTTAAAGCTTTAACGTCACATGCTACTGTGGTTTCTGCACAGCTGGATTGCAGAACTATTTGCTTTGTTACTACTGGAATGTGAGCGTGTAAGAGACGATGAAATAGGAAGTTTAACCACATTTTAAGGTGTTTTTCTCTGCTGAAGGACCACAAAACAGGTTTGAACTGAAACTAGGATTTTTTTGCTGCTCAGATAAAGATCCACTCCTTGTATGTGAAAAAGAACCAGTTTTGGGACTGGTTTCTGCTGAAGGTATAAAAATGTTTTCACTGGAGCTCTCAGACTCAACAGGTTGGGTCTCACTTTATTGCCGTAAAGTTATTCAGAGACTATTGTAATGAAAATTTTTATTAATCATGTATTTCTGCAACTTTGTTTAACTGAGCAGGAAAAGTTTTTCCATCTGTCTTTAAAATACCAGCTTAAATATAAGAAATCTCCAACCGAGTGGAAAAGGCATCAACAAAAGAGGATTAATCCCACAGCGGGAGAAAAAAAACTTTATTTTTCACAATTCTGAGAAGAGTCCAATTTCTGACAATTCTTAGAACTATGACTTGAATCAAATAATTATGAAAGACAAAATTTGGAGATAAATGGCAAAATTCTAAATTTCATCTCAGAATTCTGACTATTTTTCCTCACTTTAATTCTCAAATTTACGAAAATCAAAGGCTACGTTCACACTGCAGGCAAATCCGACCCAAATCCTATTTTTTTGACCCATCTGACTCGTATCCGATTTTTTTATGACCGTCTGAACGAGACAAATCCGATTTTTTTCTAATCCGACCCAGGCCGTTTCAGTATGTGGTTTTAAATC